TATCTAGGTTCCACATCTCTCATCTCTATCTCTATTGTCCCCACAGGATGTCATATGCACATTTGGGGGTCAATGAAGTGTCGCCACTCACCATAGAGAACCCCAACATTGTCCAAGATCCACCGTCTGGGCCTGATTCAACTCCATCTACCTCATCAGAACCCATGGATCAGCTTTCCAATGACCAGCGAGACCCACCAACCCCTTCTGGCAGACCTGGGAACCGGACACCCAGCTTTGACTTCGACGGCCCCTACTTGGGGTCTCTCCAAACCCACTCCCAGCCTGATCTCCCAGGCCCGTTGGTCACCCCCCAGATTGGTGGGAGCCTGAGGCCAGCACTGCCAGGCTCCCTGGAATACCTGTGCCTGCCTCCTGGGGGACAAGTACAGCTGGTCCCAATGTCCCAGGCCATGGGGCAGGGCCAGGCTGTGACTGTGGAGTGTGAGCCTAGCCTGGGGTCCACAGAGAGCTCTTCCATGGAACTAATGGACAGCCCTTCACTTGAGCCGAGGTTGGAGGAACAGGAACCAAAGGACAACCCAGTGACTCTGCCCATAAGCTCTGGGGGCCCCGAGGACCCTGTGGTGGCCTCTGGCTATGTCAGTCCTGCAGATCTGGTGCTCACACTGCCCACAGGGCTCCTCTCTACCTCTCTGACCCCCTTTCTAGGGTCCCCCTCAGCTCAGGGCCCCAGTCTCTGTCTCAAGCTGCCTGGGGTCCCTCCTCTAAGCCCCGCTCTTCCACCCCCAGAGTTTGATGACTATGTGGATCTCCCTCCAAGCATGAGCCAGGCCCCCCAGTCCCCTCTGGACAGTTCTGTCCCTCCTGTGCCAAGCATTTCCACAGCGAGCCCAGCAGAGCCCAGGGAGGAGGTGGCCCCAGCCTCCCCTCACCCTGAAGGCCTCCTTGTTCTTCAGCAGGTGGGGGACTACTGCTTCCTCCCTGGCTTGGGCCCTGGCTCCCCCTCACCATCACCACATAACAAACCACCTTCTCCAGGCCTGTGTCCTGAGACTGTGGACCTAGACCAGGACCTGTCTGTCAAAAAGCTTCCCTGCCAGCCCATGCCCCAGGTGCCAGCCATCCAGTTTTTCAAGTCCCTGAAGCATCAGGACTACCTGTCACTGCCCCCTTGGGACAGCAGCCAGCCTGGGAAAGTATGCTGAGTCCACCCACCCAACTGCACCAGCAGCCCTGCACCTCAGCCTGTGGACCTCAGTCTGACATCTCCACAGAACCCCAGAGGCTTCCTTGATGACGTGCACAGTCTTCCCTGACCTTAGCCCTGACCTTCAGCAATACCCTCCACCCCGTCTCTGGTTTCCTGGGTGTTGTAGGATCTTTCTTCTTTTACCTCTGACTTCTTGGAGCAGGGATGGGACCAGAGAGGCCTCTGAGGGTGAGAGCTGCATTGTCTGTTAGGGTTTAAGGACTGCTATGGTCTTCTTGTCCCCCTCAAGCACCAATAACATGGCACAGTTCTGGTTCAGAGCATGAGTTGGAAGACTCAAGGGGATACTCTGAGGGTCAGACTTGGAAAAGCGGCAGGCTCAAGTCATTTCAAATGGGCGTGGTCTTCTATGGCTATCTAAAGCTCCTGGGAGCCCTGGGGGTCCTTTCAGAGTGGACTGGGGATCCTCATCATGTAGAGAAGTGGCTGATGGGCAATGCTGGCTAGTGACCACAGCTGTGGCCAGGCTGGAGTGATGAAAAACAACAGGGAAGCCTGGCCTCGTGAACTCATGGTGTCAACTGCAGAAAAACCAGGGTGTGGATCCCTGCAAGGACAGGAACGTGGTGATCACACAGGACAGCACTTCCAAAGACTCAGTCTGGACATCCGGGCTGCTCTCCCTCCAGAATGCCTGGATATCTGTGGCTCCCACTGACTTCAGATGTGGGTTTGCTGCAGGACTGTTGCACTTGGAAATGACTGCCTTCTTGACATTCTGGGCACCATGGCATTACTTCAGTCCATTCTCACTTGCATTATTTTCATTTCAGGTTTGCACATGGCTTTTGTATGTGTCTTGAGTATAGGCTTTTTTGTTGTTGCTGGGCAGGAGGGATTGGGGATGAATCCCATGAACAATTTTGTCCCTCAGAGTGTCATCTCCTCAGATGAGACTGTACAGCTCTTTCCATGTGGCCTTTTATGGGGCACGCATGTCTCCACTCAATGTGTTCTCTCTTAGTTTTGTGCAGGAGGCACAATGGCGCCCTCAGCACTTACAGGCTGCATTGCTGTGTGACCCATTGCGGAGCTGAACCTCTCTTTGGGGTCATATTTGCAGTGGCCTTTGCAGCAAACATACATGTGCCTTCTTTCATATTCTTTCTGCATCTCCAGCCTTGCCCGGGAGGTTTTAACTTTTCTAGAACCCAGGCTTACACTGCAGAGATCTGTCCTTTTGTGATCTGAGGACCTGGGTCCAGGGCACATTGTGTCCTTTCTTCACCCATCTGCTCTCCATCCCTGAATCTGAAAGGCCCCTTTGTGACCCATCAAGTCCTCGGATGGACCTGCTCTGTCCCAGCATGTTATGTGGTAGCCTCACTCTGTAAATGGTAGCCACGCCTCTTTTTGTTTGATTTTGCCCTGTGTCAGGCAGAGCAAGTGTTCCTTGGTCTCTGTTCATTGCTGCAAAGAAACCCACTAACATCTTGAGTGTGTTTCAGTGGCGATGCTCACAATAGCCTCTCAATATGTTCTATAATGGACCCCTCTAGGGAAACAAGCAAGAAAGACCTCCATGTATCAAGACATTGACTCTAAATTGCCTGGCATTAAGAGGGAGAGAGCATTGTAATAAAATATTTGTAACATATCACACAAAGTTGTGTGTGTGTTGGAAGGTTAGGGGAGAGGATATTCTGAAGCCCTAAGTGCATTGTCAAGCAGACAGATTCCATAGGTTGGGACATTTGGTCTTTGAGACTCTTCAGTTAGTGTCTGTCCCCACTGATGCTGATGATACTGGTCTGGGGACAGCGTTTCCATCCTGAGAAGGCAAGACTGTGGGGACAGTAAAAGGTGCAACATCTGGAGGGGGAATGCACTAGCAGAAAGCAGATCCTGCCAGCTGTGAGCCAGCTGTGTGACACTGCCGTGGTGGGCATGGGCCGCACTGCATTTGTCCAAGTCCACAGAATGTGAAATGCCCAGTGTGCACCCCAAAGTCCACCTCTGTGGTTGGGAGGCAGTGGTGTATCCACACATACTTGTCCGATGTGCCGCTGTTGCCATGCCTGAGGATTGGAGTCTCCCAGAGCACTGTTGCTAACCCTCGTGGTGGCATCAGAAGAGGTCTTTGACAGATGTGATGAGGTCACGAAGTCCAACCCTGTCAACGGGGATTGGTGCCCTGACAAAGGAAACTCAAAGAGGCACCCACCCCCTCGACCCTTTCTGCCATGAGAGGAAACAGTAAAAAGGGCCTGCCTGTGAGGGAGTGACTCTAGCCAGGAACGGAGTCTCTCCTTTCTTTTCTTTGTTCCTGGAGGTAGGATCTTGCTATGTAGACCAGGCATGCATGAAACTCATTATGTAGCTCTGATTGATCTTGAAATCACTATGTAGCCCAGGCTGGCCTCAAACTCTTGGCAATTCTGCCTCAGCCTCCCAGTACTGAGATGACAGCCACTTGCTGCCACATCTGGCTTCAGTGGCCTCTTAGTCTGGGTTTCCCAGTCTCCAGAATCACAAGAAACAATTCTACTACTTGTAATCTCCTCAATTTTTATTTTTAGTTTTTGGTTACAGCAGCTCAAAGGGACCAAGATAACGATGGTGCAAGCTGTTGGGGAGGCTATGGGGGACCATGGGTACTCTATGGATCTAAATTTTGCAATGAATACAAAATCACCCCAAAAATAAAGTCTACTTTAAAAGTATTATAAGAATATTATATCTCATGCCTTTCCCAATTCTGGATATTAAGATTTTTTCCCCTAATATTTACCAACCTGGCAAATAAAATAATGTGTCCAACTTTAATTCTCATATTACTGATTACTACTGAGGATACTTTTGATCAGTTTTGTTTATTTTCCTCTGGGTCCTTATTGATTAACCGTGACTCTTTATTTATGATGGCCATTAAGCCTGTCTCTACCATCTTCAGCCCATGTCTGTTGTGGTTTCCTAGCCCTCAACCATCTAACCAGTACCCCGTGAACTCACCATCATCTAGCCCACCTGTTTCACACCCCCATTTCCCACATCCATGTCCCCATATTCTTAGAGGATCGGGCCTCCCAGAACCTCTGCCTTCTGGCCCTTGGCTGTGCACACAGTCTCAGCCTGGTCTTACACCTGCACAAACCACCTGAACCGGCTCCTGCCCTGACTTCCCCACCTCGGTATAAAGGGAGGCTTGACAGAGGTGAGGCGGGGACTCCAGGAGTCCCTGGAGGAGTCTGTTAAGAATCAGCTGCCCATCTATTGTGCTCAGCTTTTTCCATCAGCATCCCTGCCCATCTTACCCCTTCTTGTGAGCAGGGAGCAAGTGTGAGACACTCAGTTAAACAGAGTTCCAGATGACCAGCACCTATTAGCTCCCTTCGCTCACATTCTCCTCCTCCCTCTTCTTCCCTCCTGGTTGATCACAGAAGCTCGCCTACTTCTCACCCTGGGGGCCACAGCGAGGATCCGTCCTCAGCACCCTGTCCCCATGTCACAGCTGAAACTGTCCCCACACTGACTACAGTGTCTCAAAGGCCAAATGTCTGGGCCTATGAAATCTGTCCAATCATTCATTCATTCATTCATTCGTTTGTTTATTTAGTTTTTTTCTCTTGGCCGATGAACCATCTCTCCAGCCAAATTATTTAGGTTTTTTCAAAAGAGGGTTTCTCTGTGTAGTTTTGGAGCCTGTCCTGCATTTCCCTCTGTAGATCAGGCTGGCCTTGAACTCACAGAGATCCGCCTGGCTCTGCCTCAAAGTGCTGGGATTAAAGGCATGCACCTCCACAACCTGGCTTGGAATCTGTCTTCATGACAATGCACTTAGTGGTTCAAAATGTCTTCTCCCCTAAATTTCCAACACACACACACACACACACACACACACACACACACACACACACACACACACACACACACACACACA